GTACGCGAGAACAAACAGACCGCTGAAGTGGTCAAGCCGCCGTGCCAAGATATCACCCCCTACCCTGGCGCGTAAATAATGGTGTGGGCACGGGAGCAATTCCACACATAGACGTACTATTATGCCCGCCCTGTTATCACGCATTACGCCCGCGCAATCAAATGATGTGGCCTGATTTCCAGCCAAGGACGTCCACTACCGCCAAAGTGAAAGACCATGGAAGGTCAGGCAACGTGATTCCAACCACCCCAGCAGAGAACACACGGCCCCACCGCCACCCTCCTCCGCTTTGCCGGACTACAAACACCGCTCGTATGTTGTTGTCCTCTCACAGTTACTTGCTGCCGGTTCCTGTCGGTGTACGAATGCTCGGACGAATGCTATCGCTGTGCCGGTGACCGCATGCTACCCTTCCTTGCAGTCGTATATCGTCTCTCACTTGCCACACGATATTTCTTGAAAGGTTGCCTCCCATAAAAATAGGCAAACCTGTCTTCAGTGTACATGCTTCGTATGCTGCTTGTATGTAGTGCGTCATTATTCACCTTGAGATGGACTCGGATAAATTTTAGTGTGAGTGAGAGTATGCCAGGCGGTTTATTTTTGTTGCATGAATGACTGTAGCTCCGGGAGTACGCTATTGTTTATATCACTATCGTCTCATATAACGAAGCGCAGAGGTGAGAAGGCACCTACTTTTGGTAAAAAAAATGCAAAGTTTTCTTTAATTCTACTTGACAGTCCTCTTTGTCAAAATAGGAAGTAGATAACTCACTAAGAAGGCAACAGTTCGACCGTCGCATCCGACGATGTCCACCGTGTGCTCCACTGCAAAGTGAAGCAGGCAAGGTGACTTGCGCGTGAATTGGTTTATAGTGAGTGTGGACTTGTGCAGCATCCATCGCACTCTCCCCTCCTTCCCCACCTGGACCCGGTGTCAAGACATGATCAAGAAGGCCGGAGGTGAGGGAGGGAGCAGGGGGCTGACACGACCGGACTCGCACCTAGGCGTACCATCACACCCTCTGGTCCACAACAAGAACTTGCTCAAGGTTTCGCGCCATGACAACAACACCACATCGGGTCAGAAGGGCGAGGATGACTGGGTAGCTATGCTCACGATCTGCGTACTCAGCGGGAGAGCAAGTGCATCAACTGGTAAGGAACCAGGTGCCAAAGAACTGCCAGTGCATACCAGACTGCGAGGGGATTGTTTGCTGATCCTGTTATATTTCATACTGACCCAACTGTGGAAAACTCGGCGCCTCGGTGGGATTCGAACCCACGCAGTAAGGGGAAGGCTTTAGTGCAGCCAACGCTCTAAACACTTGAGCTACGAGGCCCCGCCGGACGACGCGAGTTTAATCAAATTTTGGTCAAGTTATAGCAGACGCTTACAGACCTTAGGGTTCAGAAGGGTGACACGTGGACCTGGATTTGCCTGGGTCGCCACGCTTCAGTCGTCGATTGAGAGCACACTCACACACACCACACGATTGAGTGAGTGTCAGAGGTCGCTTTAAGAAGGAGCCGTGACAGCCTGGCTCTCAACTCACCTGTCCACCCCTCCACCCAAACGAACACAATTGGGCAGACTGCGTGCATTAAGAGTGCAAGAGGTCAAACGCGGACAGCTGTTTCACTTCATGATGCATTGACTCTCGGTAGTGACCTTGAAACAGCCGTTTGCGTCTGGCCTGTTACATTTTCATTAAGCTCTCTGCGCATTTCAAGAAGTCAAGTCCGACAACTTACGGTTCCGATTATTCATCATCATGCCTGTACAATAATATAAGGGAGGGTAGAATAGCAAAAGTTAAACATCCATTAAAGGACAATATGGGGGAAAGGGGGGGGGGTTGAGGGGCTTCAGAGATCCGTGGTCAGATTCTAGTCCTGTTTGGGGCTTAGGGGGGGGGGGGGTGGCTGAAGGAGTCTGGGGATTAGCTGTCCGTGTTTCGTCGCTGTACGCTGTGGCGGGTGTGAACACGTATGCTGGGTTTGTCTTTGTCTAGGGGAGCCTTCGCGCCCGTGCAAACGCCTTATGCGAGCACAGGACTGGGTCGGATAACCGTATGGCCACTACCTCTGCCGTCGCAAGTATTCGCTGACGCAGAAACTTGGAGTGTCTCGCCAACACTTGATAGATGACTCAGAATGCTTTGTTGACGTCTACCCGGTGGCCTCTGTCAACCAAGTGAGCCACAATTGCGCTTGAGATGGACTTTTCCCTACCTTACTTTAGCCAGAAAGGATGGTGCTTTCGCGTCCGCTTACATAGACGCCTACGCATTATATGCAGTATGTCGCCGTTGTCACCAACTGACTGGCCGACGGACATAGTGGGGTCGAGCTAGATCCTAACCACAGCAGTGAGGGTGGCGCGCTCACTTAAAATAGTAAGTGTCAACAGTCACCCTCAAACCTACTAGGTTGCTGTAGCACTAGACCAACACGGAGCCCAGATCTGTCTATGGAATGCGCGAGTTAGGCCACTCGGAGACAACGCGAGCCCTCAACAAAGGCCTCCCCTGCGTGTGACATGCGTTGGACAGAGGCGCGTGTCAAGTCAGACGCCGCAACCAATCACAGCAATAGTCGGCCGAAGGATTCGGGTAGGTCATCAGTGACTGGTAAAAATCAGGGACATTGTGGTCAGTGGCGAGGCATCCTTACGCAAGGCACTCTGGTAAACCTGATTCGACTTAAGCTCTCGTGAAGAACCAGACGCTGTGGCTAGGAAGCCTGCCATCTTACGGACCCTGATAAATGTGGGCTTCGTGACAACTCTCGCTTCCATTAGACGCACGTCCGCGTAGCGACGGTGGTATCATGTCACGTCATTTACTGTGCTCAGTCTCACATTCAACTTGGAAAATTTACTGGCACATGAAAGAGGGGAGAGAGCGAGAAGTCGATCAAGCTCGAACACAGCACATGCTATCCCTATTTCGGACGGTCAAACACGCCTTAAAGCCATCACAGCATGCCAACAGTCGTATCTTGGATGACCGCCAGGCGACATGAAAGCCCTATCCCACACAGGGATCGAGCTATGAAGGCTCCCCCATAGTGCGGTCTTTATGGGGAACTCGAAGTACCTCCTGAATTAAGCCTGGTAAGCATGAAGTTGTGGGGAAAAGGTTGTGCGTGGGGCGTGTAGTTGGGCTATCTAACTTTTCCAGTCGTCGCCTTCGGCCGGCGCTGCCCGAGTCTACCTCACCGTAAACAAACGTCAGACACGAGTGAACCCACCAGGGACAGTGGTGATTTTGCTCGCGATTCCAAGTGATGGCCAGCGTAATGACTGCAAAATTGGAAATAAAACAAGCTGGAAACAATGCTACTTCGATTTTTTTGCATCTCTGTCGATCTTGCAACTTTAACATACCCTGGCCGAATTCTGTCTCTTCTGTGATCTGCATTTAGACCTATTTCCCTATCCAGCAACACGAGCGTTTGACAGTCGCATCCGACGATGTCCACCGTATGCCCCACAGAAGTGATGGGAGCAGGGACGGTGACTTGCGCGGGGGTTTATAGTGCCGGCAGACTTTTGCCGCATCTACCACACTCTCTCCTCCTCCCCCACGTGGACACGGTGTCAAGATAGAGTCAAGAGGACCGGAGGCGAGGGAGGCCGCAGGTGGATGGCTTGGACAGGTCCTAACCTTGGCGTCCCACCACACCCCCTGGTCCACACAACAAATAACCAGGATTTCGACCAACACAACAGAGATTGGAGGCTGGCATGGCCGAAGCAGCCGCATCTAGGCGTGCCGCCAACGCCTGGCCCAGATCCCACACAGTGGGAGTGCCATAAAGGCCACATTAAGAAGGAGCCATTGCAGCCTGACTCTCAGACCTCCTGTCGAGGAGGTCCAAGTTATCCCGTCAGTTGGCAACCTTCCAAGCCACGGCATTTAGCGCACCGTGATAGCTTCAAGCGCGTCAGATTGTTTTTAGTGAGAGGGAGAATACGCCGAGTCGTCGACCTCACTCTCCCTTCCCATTCCCACACCCCAGCCGCTGTCCGAGCCGGTCAGCAGACTGGAGTGGGGAATGGGCGCGGTGGCTGGCATGGTCGAGTGACCATGTCTGCGTGCGCCACGGCACGACCTGGCCCCCCAGACACACACAAACACCAGGATTTCGCTCAACGGGGGTTGAACGGCGTATCTCTCACTTGCGTGAGAGAGCCGTGGAAGGCGCTGTTTCAGCCCGTCTACCAGCCCACCAGTCCGCCACTCCACACAAACACACAGAGCGGGACGGACTGCGTGGACTGAGTGGGGGCGTCAATCAGCAGCCTTCCTATCCACGACGCTTGACGTGTCGGGATAGTCTCAGATTCAAGTCGCCCGTGCAGCAGGAGCCACACGGAGAGCGGGTCGAGACGCCCACTTCCCACTTGCATGGGAGGTGGCAGTTGGGTGCTTGCGGTGGGTGAGTGTTGATGTGTGGTGAGGTGATGGTGAGGCAGGGAGGGTGCGATGATGTGGTGCAGCCGGCGGTTGTCTGCCGCAGGTTTTCGTGGATGCGTATGTGGCCGAATAGGCCTATTCGCCTTAATTCTTAATGTTCTCATGCACGAGTGTGGGAGGTTCAAATGGAGTCTCGGAAATACCCATGGCAGTATCCAGAAGACTAGTTGGCGAGCATTAGCTTGCCTTCGACAAATTATCGTTAAACCGGCACATAAATATGGGAACGGGGTCAAGTAGACCATGTCATTTTGAATATGGGGA